CATGCCTATGAAGAGGGACATAGGGTAGGCTGGGATGAAGCTAAGCTGCCTCAAGCTTGAGAGCGTCCCTCTCTTCCTTTATGGCTTTCATACACCTTGCTTGGCGTTTTGCTTCTTTTATAAGTCAGTCCCTATCAACCTTCAGTGCTGCATTATCCTTACACTGGCCCCGCATACGCTCCATTTCAAGCTGCATATCATTCCTAACCTTCTTTTGACGTTGGTGCTCTGCTGTTACGGTCTTTAATCGCCTCTTGAGTGCTTCAGCATTGTTACACTGGCCTTCAAGAAATTCTATTTTACGCTTGAGGGCTTCATTGTCTCTCTGCATGGCTTTCATGTCTGTTACTTGGCTTTTGGATACAAATAGAAGATCTTTTCTCTCTTGTGTGAGTTTCTCGCGCTCTGCCATTACATTGTTTAATAGCTCACTGAGTCCTGTACCTTGCTCACACAGACTTTGAAGTTTTCCTACTTCAAGTTTTAGTGCGTCCCTCTCTGTCTTATTGGCCTGATATTCCAACGAATTTATATCTGTATTAATTAGATCAGTTTTGTGCTGTGTTTCTTGAAGACTGTATCTCGGGATCTATTGGAAGAAATGGACAAAAAAGTTAATTTATATCTCTCATTAATGGGCAAAATACAACAAAAATGTAAAGTATAAAAATCTATATTTCAATTTACATTATATTAATTAAAGAAGGCATCTGTTTTGTTGAAACATCTTGAACAGTAAAATCCCTGTGTAATTTTATTCTTCAGTGGTGCAAAAAACCCGGAATTAACATATCATGGTGATTAATAAATGACGCATTGGAAAAGAGATGTGTAAATAAGCTATTGTGGTGCAGTAGAGGCACTGGACCATAATTTGCCTGAAGGCAATGACGGGAAGCACGATAAACCTCGGAATAACCAATCTGGACGTGAATAACTCCCGCACACAAGTCTAGAGTGTTGCCGTTGTGTCGGTATAGTCTGTAAAATTTCTTTCATAAGGGACCCTATTCTCAATAATTTCAGAAGTTCCCAGAGGACAGCTGCATGTATAGGGGAGAGATACTAATATCACACCGGTGCCTAAATCATATTTCCTTAATTATGAGAAGTCACATGATCTGAACTGCGAGATATGTTAGATACTAATTATTTCAGAGCTACACCAGTTGCAGCCCAGTGCTCAAGCGAGAAGTGTCGTGTCTCGCGTTTGAATAAAGAAATTAGGTAAGGTCATGTTATCTGTGGTCTTCTGAGATAAGATCTCATTTTGAGTGAAACATTTGGCGCCAAGAACCTTACCCAATTACGTAGGGCAACGTTGCTTAACACGAGGACAATTCCTAATATGAGGCACTACTGTTATCATTTCTGTAAGGTTCTGCCGTGGGGTGGCGAGCGGTTGGTCTTGTAGCTGATGCACAGTGACGCCATTTTTGAGAAGTAGTGGACTGTCAACTAGGTTTTATTCTAGTCACTAGATTTAATGTGTTCTTGTGTGGGGCAGGATTTGTTTGTATGCTTCCCCATTTCTTGACGAAACTGATTTCAATTAAACTATCATTTTGATTGTAGGAAATAGCTATAATGATATTTCTGACACTTTGTTCATGCAAGTTTGCAAAGTGATATAGCTACAGGTCATGGCTGAAATTCAACATGGCAAGGTTCCTATGATGGGGTACTCTCCTTTCTCCAAATATGGGGTACCGAAGTTGCTTTGAATCCTTATCTCTGAGCAGCTGCTGTTGAAATGACTGGTGCATGGTTTTAGGAAAAATAGAATAAATCCACTGGATTTCAGCGTGCTCAGGAGTCGTGATTTTGCAATTTATATTAAGGAAGACGGTGCAGAGAGTGAACAGAGTGCTCATGAACCAACTGTCAGTTGAAATAGTCTTAATCTGCTTAACATAGGAGCTCTAGTGACTTTTAATTTCCTGCAGCAAGTGATTCTACTGGAATACACAGGGGCACTTCCTGATTCTCACACAATTTTTCTGATGAAACAAGAGCATCCTATTCGACTACATTTATAATTTCATCCAGTGGATTTGTTCTCACTCCAAATCTTGGTTCACTGCCTTCAGTTTCAAGGGAAGTGATAAATGATGGAACATCTTCAATACCTGGTTCAGGAAAAATCATAATCCCCTCTCCATACAAAGCGGAATTGTAGGATAAATGAGAGAGACAAGTTTACCAATTAAGGCGCAAGACTTAAATGTCGAAACCATCTTAGTCAGAGATTTACTAAGCAAGGAATGCAGAAAAACAGAATGCTCATCTGTCGAAAATGTAGCAAGAAATTCATGGCGGTGAGAGAGAGGAAAAACGGCAAGAACATGAGTAGTTTCATCGTCATGAAGCGAGTCAACTGCTTCTTCAGAATCTGAAGAAGACAGTGGGCGAGGCAGATAAAGCGAGGATGAAGTTGATGCAAAATGTTCATATACAGCTGGATTGGTTTCTTAAGACCATGGAGGTGAAGAATGGATTCAATATCTGAAATGCTTTAAATGCGAATACACTGTTTATGCATACTATCTGGCAAGGGCTTATGTGTGAAAGGTCCAAACAATGACACCCTTGTTTACTCTGATAAGGAAATTTGTTACCAGTAACTTTTATTTTGTACTAAAACTGTACTTTAGATTCAAGTTACGTAGACATTGGCAAATGGAGAGGGATAGCAGAGAAAGTTGAGAGACTGTACAAGTACTGCCTGATAATAGCCAGAAATAGTCGCCAAACCATGTCGTAATGTAGAAACTGTATAATTATCTTATGTGAGACTTAAACTGAATGAAATATTATTTGAGATCGTAAATATACCGTGTGTAATGGAGCGAAGTCGACCCTTTATAAAGGACACGAATTGTCTTAATTCACTAAAAGATTTCTTAAATATTTTAAAATGGCATTAACCATATACATTTATTCTTTGTTTGTACATGTTTCGGCCAGACATGGGCCATCATCAGGCAGCATTTGATACTGGGGAGACCACGGCACTGTTCATTTTGTCTTCTGTGCCCTTAAGCATGTCTTTGTTTTTGATCATTTTGTCGGCTATTTCTGTCTTTTTTGTCATTTTATATTGTTATGTATGCTTTGAACGAATGAATGAATGTATGAGGGGTAGGCCTCCTCGGCCCTTGCACCGCGACCTACAGTGGTCTATTGTGCTTAGTGGTCGAATCCTGTATTTTGTAGTTATCTTAAATAATCTATTTGTTTTTGGTTCTACTAAACTGGTTTCCTGCTATATACACATATGGGAGAAAAGTGCAATGCCACACCATATTAGGTAACTTTTTCTGATAATTTTGTATAATTACAATAATATCGACAGTGAACTGTGATAATGAATAAATGCCTTGTATACTTAATATAGGTGAGTTACACTTCAAAACACATTGAAAGTTACCTTCAGATTGTTAGCTGTGTTATGCCGCAAATTTTGAGACTATGTTCTTCGCTGATATAAAAAAAGTTAATACCATCCATTTATCATAAAAATTGAGGAAGATACTGCATTTTTAAACACAACGCTTAAAAGTGATTATGCGCCTAATAGGAACGGACATTTAAACGCACACCAGCAGCTGGTATTTAAATAAACTCCAGCCCGCTCAAGCTTACCACTATTTCGAAGTCCGGCGTTTAAAGGTTAAAGTTTATAGTAGAAATGCTCATAAGGAAAGATGGTATGAGCGGTTTTCGGAAGTGAATGAAAACATGATGAAAAAAAACCCAACAGGAAATTCGCAAGACGGAGACTGAGATCAAGCTGGGGACAGCAAGCTAGGAAACATGTAATATAAAAGGAAGAACATTGCAAGAAATAAGAAGATGTAGCTTTGGGAAGAAGAGATAAGTATAGACCTTTTGCTGCTAGATAATTCACATAGAAGTGTGAATGAATATTTAAAATTCGTGTGCACACCTGTAACACTCAGGAATACACTCGAGGGTGAACAATTTCTAAGGAAACACCATAGTGTCAAGCTAGCAAAGGAAAGGTGTGGACTGTGGAAGGTGTAAGTGGAACAACAACTCAAAGAAGTCAACAAGAAAACACAAATCTAGTATGTAAAAGATCAAGAACATAAAAATAAATACAGAAAGCAATGAGAACATGATTAACAAACAATTACCAAAAGTACACTTTATTACCCCTAAAACCATAAAATAAAACTGTTCTCCATCAAAATGTAACAGGGCTTCGAAAACTAACAATCATAATGTGACAGACACGTGCCATTGCACAATATAAAGAATGGATGAAGCTATAATAATGTTGTGATCTGAACAAAGTTACTTCAGTAGAGATTTTAAATGTAGAATTTCATGCTACAGCTGTGAATATTCAGACCTCAAATAAGGTGTTTTTCCATTTATACAGATATGTTTTGACCTAATGCAGCATGACAGCATTATTTTATCTCTCTGAAAATGCTTAGAACATTAAAATGTATCTCAAGAATACAGAGGTACGTGATTTGAATCAGACTGAGCAGGCTAATGGCTAGGTTTACTGCCAAGCCCACAGATCAGAGCATCTGATGATAATACAGAGAAGGGAATGTTTACTACTCGTATGTGTAGACAAACCTACCTTTATCATGGCAGGATCCCTTGCTGCCCCTCTCTCGAGTGTTAACTCTTTCTGCAAGGCATGTATGATTTCAGTCTTTGCCTCTATGTTGTCTTCAGCCTCACACCACTTTTCCATCAGCTTCACCATAAATCGATGCTGCCATGAGAATATTTTTGGAAAATATTCCAGTTCATCTTCAGGAATTTCACTGAGAGAAAGAAGGATAATTTATTAACTCTACAAAAGGAATCAGCTTTTCCTATGTAGAAAGACAAAAGCTTCAGGAACTTCCGCAATTCCACTAGCCCATAGTCTTGCAGTATACTTCATGCAGGTATTTCTGTACAGGATGCTTATTAAGGACTTTTGTGTCAGATCATAAGAATCATAAGGGTGCAGAACTGTGAGTAATAGACATTTTACTTCTCTTTGCACTTAACAGATGATGATGGTAATCATTCTTATTAATTGTTTCATATTTTTGGGTAAATATAAAAGGTAAAGCTATCACTATAACAGGCTCATAGGTTTGTGAGACGTCGAGGCTCCCATATTTTCTCTAGACAGTCAGATCGCAGATGGAAATAAGGTTGTCAGCTTTATGTGCTGGCCACACTTAACCCCCAGGAAGATTCCTGATACTCATTTCTGTTAGAGGCTGAGTCGACCCCAGAGCCATAGTGTGGCTGGAAGGATTAGGCAAATTGAAAATATCCACCCCATCTCGACTTGAACCCGTGACCATATGGCTTATAGCATAGTGCCTCAACCATGTTACCGTGTGGCCTTTCATTATGTTTAGACCAAGGATAAATGCACACTTCAGTAATCTTCATTAACTCAACTGTTGGGGGAGGGCAACCACAGTTCTGGAGTTCTGTTTGCACCCAAAAAACCATTTTACGAAGAATGGGCACTGAAGGTTTAAGGCTTTTAGAATTGTGATATGAGAGCTTAGAGATGACAGTGGAGAGACCACCACAAGACTTTCTACTTCAGCATTTATTACACGAGGGATATTCGCGAAAGTAAATGTACAATTCCAGTAAATATGCAAGGGATTTTTTTTCCCCAGAAATGGGATTGAAATAGGGACCCTACGACAGGGCAGAATTCACCGGCCACAGTTACGGCAACGTTGTGCTGGCAGTGTGTGTTTAAATGGGAGGGTCATTTCAAAATCCCGCCAAATGCGAGGTTCGTGCAGTAATTCGATTTCTTCATGCGAAAGGAGAAACTGCTGCTGAAATTCATCGCCAACTTGTTTCTGTATACGGCGAAGATGTTCTTAACGGGAAAGACGTTGCAAAATACTGTCGTGTATTTGAAGCGGGAAGAAGTGATGTGGAAAGCCATCCGTTGTTACTGATGAAATCATCAAAAAAAAAAGTGTTGCCAACATTCGTACTGAGAGACGTTTAACCGTCGATGAACTTTATTAACAATGTCCAGCATTGTCAAGAACTGTTCTCCGTGAAATTGCTATCGGAAACGGTGCGCTCATTTGTGCCGAAAATACTGGCAGACGATCACAAGAAAAATCGAGTGACTGCAGCGAAGGAATTCCTCGCAGTGTTACGGGGATAGGTGACGACTTTCTGGACTGTATTGTGACGGAAGATGAAACACTTACCAAGAGCGAAAAATTCAAAACCTCACCATCAAACTAAAAAATAACTGCAACCATCTTCTGGTACACGAAGGGTCCACTTCTCGAAAGTTTTTTTTTTGCGTCGAGCTATTCAAAACAAGCTGAGAGGAATGCTGATGCGAGGAGTCTGCTTACTGCACGATAACGCCCGTCTGGCCACTGTTCGCAACACGCAGTTGTTGTAGTCTTTGATGTGGGAACTATTGGCCCTTCCACCGCACAGCCCACACCTTGCACCAAGCGACTATCACTTGTTATTTAAATTGAAAAACGTCTGGTTGGAAAGACTTTTACGTACAATGGTGAGATTAAAGCCTCAGAGGATTTTCATCGCTCCTTCAGTTAGAAACGAACTACAGAAATCGTCGTAGTGTGATTGCCGATCTTCGACTGAAGTTGACCAATATTGAGCCAGATATCCAGGAAACCTGTAAGGGCCTACAAGCTCAACAATCTCATTAAAAGTAAGTAGTAACATAATTATATCGTATTCTTTATTTATTTAATAAAGATTAAAATTTTGTTCAATGATGATTCACTTTTAATAGTTTACTTCCAGTTTTTTAGTCATGTTTCCATATGTATTCAAAACCAAATTAATGCAGATCATAAAAGAATCAGGTATCTAATGGCGTGGAAGTAGATTGCTTAGTAAATTTTACATGGATCAGAAAGTTAGAATGCGACTGGACAGAGGGGGACAAGAAGTGTGAAGATTGGAAGAGGAGTTCGACAAGGATACTGTTTATCAGCAACTTTCTTGAATTTGTACAGCGAATGCCTTACCAAAGAAGCTCTGGACGGGCTTGGAGACTTCAAATTAGGAGGGCAAATTATTCAAACTGTGAAATATGCAGATGACCTTGTGTTAATGGCTAAGGAAGAAACTGTGCTACAGGGCATGATTGATAGAGTAATCAAAATTGGAAGATGCTATAGCATGGAAATGAATGTGGAAAAAACAAAAGTAATGAAAATTTCGAGACAACCAACCCCAGTCACAATAAAGATAGACCAAAAACAACTGGAGAATGTGAAATGTTTTAAATATTTGGGTAGCTTGTTAACAGATGATGGAAGGTGTACTAGTGAAATTAAATCCAGGATTGCCATGGCAAAAGCTGCATTTAGCAAGAAGAAGAATCTTTTTACCAGCAAATTGGACTTAAATTTGAGAAAGAAACTAGTGAAATGCTACATTTGGAGCATTGCTTTGTATGGGGCTGAAACTTGGACACTTAGGGCAGTAGATCAGAAACACCTGGAAAGCTTCGAAATGTGGTGTTGGAGAAGGATGGAGAAGATCAGTTGGACCGATTATGTGAGAAATGAAGAAGTGTTATTTAGAGTCCATGAGCAGAGGAATATCCTACACGAAATAAGAAAATGGAAGGCTAATTGGATTGGTCATGTTTTACGCGGTAACTGCCTTCTAAAAGAAGTTGTTGAAGGAAAGATAGAGGGGCAGATAGAAGTAACCAGAAGACGAGGAAGAAGACGTAAGAAGATGGTGGATGACCTTGGGGACAGAAGAGGTTTTTTTCATATGAAGGAGAAAGCTCTAGATCGCATCAAGTGAAGGAACTGTTTTCGAAGAGACTGTGGTTGTGTCGTCTTGACAGATTACAGATGGATGAATGAATGAATGAGACACAGTATGTCCCAAATGTTGGTAATACCACATATGTTTAAAAAAATAGACCTCTGTAACTTAGTGGTCCGTAGATTTTTTCAGACATTTTACTGGTCCTTTGGCTTAAAAAGGCTGAGAAACACTGATATAGGATATTGGTGGGAAAGCCAGAAGGAAAGAGACCACTAGGACGGCCAAGACATAGGTGAGTGGACACTACTAAAATGGGGATGATATGGATTGGATTGATGTGGCTCAGGAAAGGGACCAGTGCAGAGCTCTTTTGGACACGGTAATGAACCTCCCGGTTCCATAAAATGCTGGGAGTTCTTGAGAAGCTGCACAATTTGTGGCTTCTCAAGAAGAGCTCATCTGCAAGGATGAGTGAGTACTCAAAAGGTTTTAATTTGCTTTGAATGAAAGCTAATTTAAGCCACACAACTATAAATAAAGAAGCAGCTCACCTAAGCTTACGTGTTTCCAGAATAAGTGCAACGGCCTGAAATGTTCCCGTAATCGTCATAAATTTTTCGACCAACTGTAATAAAGCAAAATTTCATATTAACATATTACTGGTGCAATTGTGGTGTTGTGTGGACAGAGCAATTTAGAGATTCATTATCATCTAATTAAAACGTAATAATGGTGACATGTGGGTCTTTTCTAAGGAACAAGTTGGCCAGTGTTTTGTCATGGAGAGATATTTATATGAATTCGCATTTCGAACAACTTGATAGTCCAACCGTTTTCTGGAACGGATTGTGTTCGGAGTTGGAGGTAACAGCGCATTTTTGTATGACGCCTGCTTCTGTTGATTTCTAACTTGGCTCACTCTTCAACATTGAAGATGGAGGTTATGTTACCGCGATACAATGGGCTTTTGCACAAATGACATGACATTACAATCCAGACAACCTCAGTAGTCATAGTCAACTCTGTAAGGATATCAAATTCAGCAAATCCAGAGCAGATTCAACGGCAGTCTGGCCTGCGTTGCAGTCCACAACGAACAGTACGAGTCAACAAAATATAATGTTATGCCACGTAGTCCGTATAAAGTGAACAGACGTTTCGCAGGAACAATTTGCCATCATCTTCAGGGTTTAAGAGTAAACCACGTGCAATAATTCCAGCCACAAACCAATGAAAACGAAACGAATTGGAAATCTAGTGACAAATATGGATTCCTAATATCACTTTTGATTCATTCACGGATACACACGTCATATGAGATTCAATTCAGGTCTCATGTAAAGTGTTCATTGTCGATATCGATCTGAGTATATCGAATTTATTTATTTATCTAGTTTAGCCCCCCGAAAATTGTCATCTTATGCCATAAATATGTATATTTCGGAACGTAATAGTATTTGATAAATAGCAAGGGAATAAATTATATAGGTATATACTGATGGTGAAGTCCCATTTTATTGCAAGGTGAGATTTGTTCAGTTCTACAAAATATTTTGAGAATAATTAAAATAGTTATACTTACCATATGTTTTGAGTGTTCTCTTCCACGCCGGATTAAGTTACTCCCTCGACTTTCCTCGATTTGCGACATCCTGCTCATAATGTATCTTCATATGTAACCTAGAGTCGGACATACAGAAAACATCACTGTCCGTATTGTTGTAGGCTTTGCCTAGCAACCGCTGTTTCCTCGTCGTTGCTAACCAATGAAGCTCGCGTTGTCACACTTGCTTTAATATGGGCAGTTCCCACATCATCCCCCCGTGGAGATCGTTGCTCAGCTGTTGAAGCGACCAGGAAAAGGTTTCCTTGCGCAGCGCGGTCGCTGGTGTGGTGAGGCGGTAGCTACGCCAGTTGCCCAGTGCGTCGGGCATAACCGCAGGTGAGTCTGAGGCAGCCGAGTTGCCCAGTGAGTCGGGTGTGAGACCGCTGGACAGCTGAGGCAGCCATTCTTGGCGCAGCGCAGAGCCGAAGACGAGCGCTGGAGGGGAGAGGCGGAAGCTGCAGTGTGTTGACTAATGTTGTCGAGCGCGAGCGCGGTTGTAGGAGTGATGAGACGGTAGCTACGCAGGCTAGCTGAGGCAGCCCAGTGAGTCGGGCATGCCAGCGGAGTGGCGAGGCGGCCATTCCTGGCGCAGCACAGAGTCGAAGACTCCCAAAGACCGAGCGCTGGCGACGAAGTGTGCTGGTGGATGTTGCTTGAGTGAAGATTGATCGTAAACTGAATATGCCAAGGTCAAGGTCATGTTACAACTGACGGTCGGTCAGTCTGTCTGTCTTGGTGTCGAGCCCCAGCTGGGGCTCATGACCAGATATTTCTTTTGAATGAAAGTTACTGTCTTCTCTATGTGTAATGCCCTCTCTGACGAGAGGTCGGGTCTGTCATTTGTTCATCAGTCTGTATTAAGTCCATTGTCTGTATTTACATACATTTACAAATACACATTTATTCCTTACTTCTATGTACAATATATACATGGCCTCTGTCAGTCCAGGCTAGGTACAGCAGATTATGCCCTTTTATATATATAAATAAATATCCTAGTAGTATTAGCTACCACGGCAGTCTAGTCACTTGAACGGTCGTATGCCTGACCGCCGCCCAGTTTAAGCCTCTTATACTTTCTGTGTCTGGCTTCGCCTTGTCCGATGTTGCGAACATTCTCATTATCATCATTTTGTATGACTTCTGCTTGTTGCCTGCATAATTTTGTTATAAAGTCATATACGTACGGGATTTTGAATGCCATGTGCAAATCGCGGACCGGTGTGCGCCTTGGAAAATTGCCAATCGTGCGGAGAACCTTGTTTTGCAGGCGCTGCAATTTCACTAGATGAGTGTCTGCCGCAAACTCCCAGGCGGGACT